GATCATCCCCCTTGCGCGGAGTGAGGGTTCTCCATCCCGCACAACATGATCTACTCGACCACCATTACGGTCACCGCCAAAAACAAACAGAGGTAAAATAAAAAACGGTAACCTGGTGGCCGAGTTCACGAAGTGACTTGGCTTGTTTTACAACGTCATTGCCAAGCGACGAAAACCCAACCCCGATGGCAAACACCGGAGGAGGGGGGGGCATGTTTTACAACGTCGTTGCCAAGCGACGAAAACCCAACCCCGATGGCAAACACCGGAGGAGGGGGGGGCATGTTTTACAACGTCGTTGCCAAGCGACGAAAACCCAACCCCGATGGCAAACACCGGAGGAGGGGGGGGCATGTTTTACAACGTCGTTGCCAAGCGACGAAAACCCAATCCTGATGGCAAACACCGGGCCGACCACGGGGGGAGGGGGAGGGGGGGGCGTACTCTAATGTTTTGCATGTCTTAGCGGTTAGACCATTGACCACGCGTCCTCGAGAGGACGGAGCATTGTTCCCACAGGACCGATCACCGATNTAGACCATTGACCACGCGTCCTCGAGAGGACGGAGCATCGTTCCCGCAGGACCGATCACCGATGGCCAATCGTTCCTTTCTACTTTGCCAAAGGTGGCTCAAAAATGTCTTCCCTAGTCTGTCTATCCTAACGATATCCCTTCCCGTCTTTTCAACCCACCTCCTATGCCCCACTACAGCTACCGTCCTATCCTCTCTATTCCTGCCCTTTGTGTTTTTTTACGATCTTTCGTCGACCTCCCAGCTCTCACGCCATGTTCTTTCAGAGAAGATGGGGGTGGGTGCTCTCGTCGCGAGTGTAGACTGTCCGGTGCCCGACGACCGCCGATACGATGCGCCGCACGTATGCGGGAGGCCTTGAACGAGACGTCGCGTGACTGCGATGTCGTTTAGCCGAACAAAACGTACTGTGAAATGTCGGTAGAGCACCTGGCAGATACAGTTTCTTCTGGGGGCGACGCCGAGTTGGACGAAAACGTTAGTCGCACACACACGCACAACGCGACAATGCCAAGAAACCTCCCTCACCCCGCCCTCGCCCCCTTCCGTTATCATCGCTCTCGCACCAGAAGGGCGGGACTGCGGCGGCGGCGCTTCCCAAGCGACAACGCGTCGGCGGCGGCGGCAGCAGNTCCGGTGCCCGACGACCGCCGATACGATGCGCCGCACGTATGCGGGAGGCCTTGAACGAGACGTCGCGTGACTGCGATGTCGTTTAGCCGAACAAAACGTACTGTGAAATGTCGGTAGAGCACCTGGCAGATACAGTTTCTTCTGGGGGCGACGCCGAGTTGGACGAAAACGTTAGTCGCACACACACGCACAACGCGACAATGCCAAGAAACCTCCCTCACCCCGCCCTCGCCCCCTTCCGTTATCATCGCTCTCGCACCAGAAGGGCGGGACTGCGGCGGCGGCGCTTCCCAAGCGACAACGCGTCGGCGGCGGCGGCAGCAGCAGCAGCAGCGGGGGCGCCAAGCACCACAAGTCCGGCGGCGGCTCGGGAGAGACCACGAGCGAGGTGATGCTTTGTGTGTGCTTGTCGAAGAAAAGAAAGGGTGCCCCTTCAGATGCTTCCCCCCCAAAAGCAACCCGGTGGAGCGGCTGTGACTGCCCCGCGGTTGTTGTGTCTTTTTTGTTAACGGCTGTCGCGTTATTCCCTCATTTTCTTCGCCACTTGTTTTGAATGCGTCCCCGCTTGGAGGTCGGGAAGAGTCCCTCGCTGTCACTCTCCTACCTCCGAGGTTGTGTCGAAACGAAAACAGATTCGCCCCGCGCCCTTAGCTGCCTGCCCCGTGCATCCGGAAGCACACTTGGCGTTGTTTCACCGCGACGGTTTCGTGGGCGAGCGAGCGCAAGTGCACCCCCTCGTTCACGCCGAAAGTATTGAGCACGCAGTTTTTTCAAGCGGCTCGCGCGCTCTCAAAACGCGCAAGACCTGATGACAGCGCCGACGATGACGGCCCCGTCGGGCGTCGGCGGTGAAGGGAAGAAATAGGATCAAGGTCATCGGGTTTTTGTCGAGAACAGCCCGCAGCGAATGCTACGTACAGACCAGCCGTCGGTCAGACATACACCCTCTTGCTTCATGGGGCCCTGGCGACGCATCCCTGTCAACACGCACACACACGTTCATATGTTTTTGCTCTTCCCCTTTCCCCCGCCACATCCTCCCCGCCGGCTGCGTCACGTTGCCACCCCAGAGCAACCACGACAGGGGCGCCGCCCTCTCGCCTGCCCAGGCAGATGCCATACAGTTTCTCGAGTGCGACCCGGAGTGGTTGTTTCTGCGTTTGTATTGACGACAGGAAGGTCACCCCGGCGGCGATGCAGGAGGCTCGCCGCCTGTTGGAGAACCCCCGCGAGTTGCACGGTCTCCGGAACGACGCTCTGGACCACCCCCGAGTCTACCGGGGCATCAGATCGGCGGAGGACCTCGACCGCCACCAGCTCCGCAACCTGGTGGGCGCGGCCACCCTACCCGACAACGGCCTTGTCAAAATCCTCGGGTTCTTCCTCGGCGACCTGCGGGCGCTAGAGAGCGCGTGTGCCGAGGCGGAGCTGCAGGGGCCGGTGGAGGGGAGCAAATTCGTCGGCGACCGGGGTGTCAATGCGCCGGTAGTTCACGACCTCCCGGCGACCCGGCTGCCTGGACAGCTCCGATCCTCTTGGAAGCAGGGGTTGTGCCTTCAGTATCAGAGGCGCGCGTTCTTACCACAATGAACCCATCGCCACCACCACACGACCGGGAAGGTGTCCCGAGCGGCCAGCAACGTCTCGTCCATCGAGGGTGGGCCGGCCGGGCACGAAAAACGACTGGGGGCATCCTGCGTGGAGGTGGAGGGGGATCGGAACGAGTCCTCGGTGTCCGCGATCCCCCACTGCGCTGCGCTGTCACAGCTACGCCTCGAATTCCGTCAAGCAGCCGTAGTGGTCGAGCGCTCGTCCGGGCTCGGTCTTTCCTTCACCACTTCACCGCGACTCCTCGTGTCGGGGTGTACAGGTGGTGTGGACATCGCAGTCGGACACTGTTCCAGTGTCGGTCCCGCGCGCGACCTGGGCGATGTCCACACCACCTGTACACCCCGACACGAGGAGTCGCGGTGAAGTGGTGAAGGAAAGACCGAGCCCGGACGAGCGCTCGACCACTACGGCTGCTTGACGGAATTCGAGGCGTAGCTGTGACAGCGCAGCGCAGTGGGGGATCGCGGACACCGAGGACTCGTTCCGATCCCCCTCCACCTCCACGCAGGATGCCCCCAGTCGTTTTTCGTGCCCGGCCGGCCCATCCTCGATGGACGAGACGTTGCTGGCCGCTTGGGACACCTTCCCGGTCGTGCAGGAGCTGGCTTCGGTTGGGAGGCGGAAGGCGTTTCGTCTACTGGGGCCGCCCACCAGAGCAAGGCTCTCCGCGACGCCAAAGCTCTGGAGAGCGCCGCTCGGGGGGACCTGGAGCTGCATCGAGCATGCACCAACGGGGGAACGGTCACCGACACGCGCGTCGTCGAGATGATGCTGGATTTTCTAGGCGAAGCGATCGAGTTTCACGCCTCGGCAAACGGCGGGCCTACGGTGAACGGCATCCGGCGGTGTGACGAGCTGGAGAAGGCGCGCGACCAGGGGCTTCTCCAAATCCGCGGGGTGGCGGGGCGCGTGGGGCGGGAGGTTCGGGGCAAACACGTCCGGGCCCGAGACGACCGCGCCGCTGGAGGTTTGTACGTGTAGCAATCGTGTCTCGGAGCGACCGACGGTTTGTTGCTCCTGTTGCTGCTGATGTTGTTGTTGTTGATGTTGTTGTTGATGATGATGATTGAACGGCCTTGTTCGAGATCGATTCTCGCATAGCTCCTAAGATATAAGACTAGCTCGTGGTGGCGCCAACCTCTGCGTTACCTCGCTCACCGCCGCCCCGTCCGCCCCGCCCCCACTGCCCCTCTTGTGTTTTCGATTGGCGGCGGTTTGGTTGAAACGTTATCAAGTGGGTGCGTTGTGGAGGATTGTCGTTGTTGCTGGCGTCTATTTTCTTGTTTGTTTCTGTGGTAAGGATTGCTCTCGTTTCTCCTTGTTCGGTCCTCGTCTGCGCCATGCATCCAAACCCGTAGGTAACGCAAGCTGGACCGGCCGCTCGAAGGGGGTCAACGAGGAGGAGGCCGAGGCAGCCAAGCGGGAGGCTGAGGCGGCCCATGCTCCGGCGCCGGAGGAGGAGAAAGCCCAAACGGCGCAAGCCTTCGGAGCAGCGACCAACCGCGTGGAGATGGCCAGGACCGCCAAGAAGCGCCGGGGCACGAGCGGTAAGATTGCCGCCGGCGTTGAACTCGTTCGGACCGGGATCCTATTCGTTGTGCATATGCTGTTGCTGCTGTTCTTGGTCGTTGATGTTGATGATGTTGATGATGATGATGCTTAGAGGGCCTTCCTCAAGAACGATTTCTTTTGACTTCTTCCACCAGACCGCCCCCCTCCCCCCCCGGTGTTTCGCCATCGGGGTTGGGTTTTCGTCGCTTGACAACGACGTTGTAAAACAAGCCCCCCCCTCGGTGTAATTCATACGCAGCTGTCATCCATATGCAAGGAAGTAAGCACAAGATGCCGAAAACCCTTAGCAGGATGCAGCGCACCCTTCATGCGACTCGCCGAATA